GTAAAGCAAAACAAACTAAAAACAAACCTATTTGAAAATGCTTCTGAGCACCAAATCAGCATATTAGAATATTAGCATATTAGAATGAATGAAGGTTACTAAGAGTGTTACTAAGAGTTACACTTGATTACAATTACAGTGAGTATTAAAGCTACAAACAGTGTTATTAAAGTGACATTAATCTGTGAAGGTTGCATCATTACATGGACTACGAATGAAGTCCAGGCAACACTAGCGATCACAATCAGAGCTCCACAGTCATAAGATCACACAAGATGGAAGACGTGTTAACACACAGGCCCTGCTATTCACAACATGTATTTTTAACTCTTATCATCACTGTTAAATGTGCTGCCCTTCAAACAGAGTCATGCTTACAAAGTGGGAAATGGCTAAAAGGAAAGAGATGGAGAGATTAAAACTCTGAATAGTAAACCATGGAAAAAGGAGCTGCTTTGTACTACACAACGTCACACTCAGATGTACAATATAGGCTAGTCTGTGTACACACTAGTAGTGTAAATATCAAGATAAAATGCCGGAGCCTGACAGAGCAGAGCACGAGGACCAGTGGCCTTTGTAGGGCACCTCAGACCACACCTTACTCAGCACAGCAGACCTTGCTCAAAAGTAAACAATGAGTCTGACTGTAAACACCTAGACAAACTGCATAAACCTGCTCAGCCCCCCTCACAGCTACTGTAAATGATAACACAAGCCTATCGAGCCTATAGAGACTGACTACCTGACAAAGTCTAAAATGGACTTTACAATGTAAAAACAAAGTATATAAAAATAACAAAACTTACTTAGGAGCTTTTAGTTCAATGTTAAAAGTGTCCAAAGTGATGCTGTTATTTAATATTTTTTATGTTTTTGAAAGTCTCATCAAGGCTGCATTTATTTGATCAAAAATACAGTGCAGTAATATTGTGAAGTACTATTACAATCTGAAGAACTGTTTAATGTACTTTAAAATTTAATTTATTGCTATGATGGCAAGGGTGAATTTTCAGCATCCATTACTGCAGTCTTCAGGGTCACACGATCCTTCGTAAATATCCTTCGTCAAATATGCTGATTTGACCATTTTCTTGGTGCTCAATAAAAACCAGCTAATTTTCAGTAGATGTTATCAGATGAAGCACTTAAGTTACCTGACAAAACATTCCTAAAAAGGTTATTTCTAAAATTGCTAAAAGCATCACATTTTCAAATGTTTTAGGCTCCTCCTTCCTCGTCTTAACAGCTGCTTTTTTCCAGAAAACACTGTGCAAAAAAGCATGTCTAGAGCTCATTCATTTTTAATTAGTTCAAACTAGATTTGTGCCGGTATTCGGTACTGCGGTATATCACGGTAATGAATATGCACGATATTGTTGTTGTGGGCACTTCTAAATACCGTGAATAATTATAAAATTATTCAGAAATTTGAATGCATTTTAAGAATACTTTTCCCATCAACTGGTCAAAATGCACAACACCGCTGTATGCTGCGTGAAAGACGCGTGCGCACTGATGTAAATAAGCTCGGATGAGAAGCACATGGCGGAACATGTACGAGATGCTCTGGATGAAAGCGCACTTTCACACTCTGACAGCAGATGATGCTAAACTGCAGAAATAATAATAATAATAATTCATTTAAATGCAGCCGTTACCCCGGAAACCCTGTAAACAAAGCAGCTGCACTACTTTCTGTTTCTGAAAGGTGTTTAAATTATTTAAACAGCCATTCAGATTTGTGTATTTGATACCAAATACTTAAATGTTTAGACTTAATAGGCTATTTATTTTCAAACTTTTT